CACACACACACACACACTCACACTCACACACACACACACTCTCACACACACACACACACACACATACACACGTTTGTTTTTGTGAATTGTGGGGACATTCCATAGGCGTAATGGTTTATATACTGTACAAACTGTATTTTCTATCGCCATATATCTAACCCTACCCCTTACAGGAAACTTTGTGCATTTTTACTTTCTCAAAAAAACTCATTCTGTATGATTTATAAGCCTTTTGAAATATGGGGACATGGGGCAATGTCCTCATAAATCACCTTCTCCTTGTAATACCTATGTCATACCCATGTCATTATACAAATTTGTGTCCTCATATGTCACAAAAACACACACACACACCTATTAAGATAAAAAAGTGGGCCTAGTAGATGCTTGCGTTTAGTTGTGACAGAATACAGGAAAAGAAAGGCATTAGGTGTTCATGCATTACATCAACAGCGTCATTAGACTTGATTACTGTACATCACACCTTGTCTTATTGTTTTGATCCTTACAATATGCCCAGTTGGACTCTTGTTGGACCAGACTGCCATCTTTATGAAGCGGACAGATTTGTGCATGTTGCGTCCTGATACTAGTTTAATTTGAAATGAGCTGAAATGGGATGCTCGCAGGGCTCTTTCTTATGGAAAACAGCTGTTTCTGCTATGTGTGTGTGTGTTTCATCCTGAAAATGGATTTTAAAAGCTTCCCGCTCATATTGCTTTAATCAAGGTGTTGGACCTCTTACTTTCTTAGAAAACTCACCACTTTCACATTCAAGAGTTCTTTCTCTTATCTTGCCCCATAGGTCATAGGACTCTTTCTTTTTAGGCCTTTAAAAGCGGTCGATTTTTCAAAGCGTCAGTCTGGTTGATATATGCACCATGCATCTTTCCTCTGTTTATAGGTGGGGTTATTAACCTGTCGGTGCCGGTGGTCCTCCCGGTTTCAAGTGCCGATAAGGAGCGTCTGGATGGCAGCACTGCGTTTGCGCTGGCCTACGGTGGTCAGAGGGTCGCGATACTGCGAAACCCAGAGTTCTACGAACATCGCAAGGAAGAGCGTTGTGCCCGGCAGTGGGGCACCACATGCAAGGATCATCCATACATCAAGGTCAGGGGGTCAATGTAGACAAAGCCTGTATGATTAGAAGATTACTTACAGTTTCCTAACAAAAGTGAAAAAGCAAAAGTTCTGCATGACCTGACACAATCACAGCCGTTTAGAACGTAGTTGATTGATTGTAATTACTAGATTACTGTAATTACTTTTCTCTGAGCACCTCGCTTCTTAGAGCTCGGAATTATGCGTTTGAATTTCAACACTATTAATTCCAAATGAGTTGGTGTAATTCGAGTAATCAATAGACAAAACCACAATACAGGAAGTTGTGCAAATGCCTTGTTAATAAACAGTGTTTTTGCGGGACATTAGATAGGTGTTTGACGCTGCTAGCTACATTACACTGCATTGTATGTCTTTTGTTTGTTTTTAAATTGTTCTTGCATAATTAAGACATTTACAATAGTCAATTATAGGAGTTATTAAATAGGAATATTACAAAATAACTGCTTAACTGCATTGTAATGCTAAAGCCACTGCCATTTTAAATGTTTCCACATGGCGTTGAGGAAGTAGGAGCTCTCAGCAAATTTAGAGTTTACAAGTAATTGTTACAATTTACGCAAGTAAGTAGTTACAAGTATGAGGATTTGAGCGCATTTTACAAGTTGGAAATATCCTAAACCTCTGGTGCTGCTCAAAAATGACTGGTTTTGTTTTTTAATTTTGTTAATGTTTTGTTTGTTAATATATTTTCATTTTGGGGGGCTTTTATGGTACTAAATTATATTCATGGAATAGTTATGATCCATTTGTTACCCGTTAACGGTTAAAATGTGGTTAACTGTTAACCACTTTTTGAGCATGCAAAATTTCAAACATAAACTGTCCTAAATCTTAAATTATTTGGAGCAGAGACTTGTGTTTGGTGTCTTTTTTTTAAAGAAGTGAAAAAGATAAAGTGAAACTTAAAAAAAAATGGTAGAAGTTTAAGTTTATTATTCTGAAAAATGCACAAAAAATTTTTTTTTAAATTTTATTTGAAATGTGTTTTCTAAAAAGTGTTTTACTCTAAAACGGTGAAAATCAAAGCCATAATCTAAACAAGTTATGTTCCAAATTTGAGGTTGATATCTCAAAAATTAGATTTTGTTTGGGCACTGTACCAGATGTTTCCATTAGATAAAATTTGCTTCAAACTATTTCCAATGTGGTCATTTTCTTTTTAAGGGTGACTTTTATTTTTTATTTTTTTGCAGGACCATTTAACCTTTCTAAATCATGTCCATATTTCTTTTGTGTTCACATAGCAAGTGCCAAAACCGTTTCCAAGTTTCGTACAATTCCGATGAAGTTATTCTTCAGAAGTTATTCTTTCAGAATTGAAGTAATTCTGGAGTGAATGTACCTATACGACAGTGTGGAGCTGGATTTTGGACTAGTGAGATTTCGTTGTGCTGTGTAACCACATATACAGGTGCATCTCAATAAATTAGAATGTCGTGGAAAAGTTGGAACCTTTGCAGGTGTTTTGAGTTGATTAGCTGATTGGCATGTCACCATATTCTAATTTGTTGAGATAGTGAATTGGTGGGTTTTTGTTACATGTGAGCCAAAATCATCACAATTAAAAGAACCAACGACTTAAACTACTTCAGTCTGTGTGCATTTAATTTATTTAATACACGAGTTTCACAATTTGAGTTGAATTACTGAAATAAATTAACTTTTCCACAACATTCTAATTTATTGAGATGCACCTGTATGTAAACGTAACCATAGACTTGATGCTGGTTAGGATAAAATTGTTGATAAAATATTTCTATCAACTTATGTAAGCAGTTGGCAATGATTAACGTCATTCTGTATCTAATTTTTGTTGTCAGCTCCCTCCCTTTTCTTTCTTTTCTGACTCACAAACCACCTGGAAAGTCCCGATCATATGCATACCGTGAATGAGAGCACTGTTTAGACTACATACATGTTAATAAGAAAGCAGAATCACAGTGATTCAGCAGCATGATCCATTAATGCATCACTTTTCACCTGTCTGAGACTGAGCATCCTTTATAGGAATAATTTGCCGGTTGCTTCATTGCTCTTTAGTGTTTATGAGCAGTGAACTCAACCCGCAGTGTTGCGCTAAAGACATTACAGCTTAAATCTACTGTTTTCTTAAAGGACACCTAAGCAGGGACATCATGACTGTGAGTTATCCCAGGGACATTTTCTTCTAAAATGAAGTTTTGTTTGTATCTGTAATTGTGTTTAAAAGAAAAGATTTTCCACTTATGCCCCATTTTTTGAAGGTAAAGTCAAGTGACCTGATGCTTTAATAGGTCTTTGTGCAGTCACATTGCCAAGCTTTCCTTGGACTGCACTCTGACAGAAGACAGAGCCACGATGCCCTCTTAGTCGGTCTATGGAAACAAGGTCTCGCTTTCTCTCTCATCTTTGCTCAGCCTCCGATTTAGTCATCTCTTTATTCCTCGACCTCCTTCATTTCACACATGTGTTTTAGTTGGATTTCTCGCCCTGCGTTCTATTTAAACAGTGTTTAGGCAAGTGGCGCTCTCCTCCCCTCCTCTCCCCTCACCTTCCTCTTACAAATCTCGCAGAGTAAATACTGAACAATTGTTTCCATCTGTAAGTAGGGATTGTGGGCTTAGGTAGACTTTAATGGCTCCGCTCTGCTCCAGCTCGCACTAATGGGCGCCACGGGAGAGCTTTCGGACTCTCGAAAGGCCCTGTCTGTCTGCTTGCCTTTGGTCACAAATAAACCCATCCACAGACCAAAGAAAGAAATTGCATGCCTTTTGGAGGATGTCAAAAGAAAATAGTTTTTTTCAGAATATTTATAAAGTTATCATTAAATTATAAAACAATATAAACCATATAATAATATAATATATAATAATAAAATAATTATATATATATATAATTGAGGAGTTTTGATTTCAATTTAAAATTGATGTAAAAAGGTTAGTTTGTATGTGAAATTGAAATTGTAATGTATATTTAATTGTGCATACTTATTTACATAAATTTTTACATTTAGATGATAAAACTCACTTTTAAAACACTAATCATTCAATAACAAGCTAATCTCAAAATGAATATGCATTTTTCGTAGTGTACTTTATTATCTTGTCATGCCTAAATTGATGTGTAGCATTTTAAACTATTTATTTTATTTCTGGTGTGCATAATTCTTCTTATTATAGTTCTAAATTATTCTAGGTAGAACAGCATAGAATTTAAATATCAGATTACTGGCCATAATTTATTTATTTATTTGTTTTTGAATATTTAATTTAACTAAAATTGTTTGCGGAAAATGGCTTGCGAATGTGATTTCTAGTTTTTGATCTTATGAATCTGTAATTTGATTTTATGAATCTGTATAAGTGAAATATGAATATATCTATCCATCTATCTATATATAAGCTGAGAATATACTATGTTCATAGAATCGTTCATCTCATTATTTCACTGTGTCTGGTGTGTATGTTAAACTCCCTCTGCTGAAGCGTGTCAATCAGCAGGACTGTAAAACTGGCCTCCATTATGTGAGGTAAATACACTTTTCCTGTTTATTTCGGCTGTCAGTCTGACAGCTGAATCCACATTGGGGTTTTGGTGCAGGGGGATGTTAACCAGACTCGAGAGCATTTACCTAATTGCATTATCAATGTTGTTGTTGTTTTTTTCCCCCCTCATTGAAAGGGGTACAGTGCTCAACCAGTGCTCTGCTATTTTCTATGACAGCTAATAGAGTTGATTTACTGTATAGATGCGATTAGTGCCAACAGATCGCTCATTGAGTTTTTCCATCGCCAGGCTCTGCAACATAAATAAACGACTGCTACTGTTGCTATACTGTGGCCAGCAAATGACAGCTGCACATGCATTTAGTCTTCAAATGCAAAAGCAATGCAGTGGATGAATCGTTTTATTAACATTCACTGCTTTTAGGCCTCTCCAAGTTTGCTTAATATGATCACATACTTGCACATAAAGTTCCCTTTCAGTCGGTCACTCTCGACGTCACGTCGGATGACCGACGAATTGGGATCTCGCTTAGA